TTTTTTTTTTTAGGGGGGAATTTGGGGTTTTCTGGAGGGGTTCTGGTTTTTTTTAGGGCGATGGTGGTTTGTGGGTTGTGTGTGGGGTGGGGGGGGGGGGGGGTCTGGTTCTTTGGGGGGGGTTTCGGGGTGTTTTTTGGGGGGGTTGGATCCCCAATTCCCCCCATTTTCCCCTTTCCCTCCCCAAAATCCGCAGCTAAAACCTCCCCTTGGAATTAATTATTTAAATCACTCGTTCCGCCCCGCTTAGCCCTACGCGCGGGCGGTGAAATTGTGGGGGGGGGGGGGGGAAGGTTCCCAGGGGGCCCCAAAACCCCCAATTTTGGGGCGTGGCCAGAGGGGTTCGGGGAGAAAAATGGGGAGATTTGGGGTTTTGGGGGGAATTATTTCTTATTTTGGGGAATTTTTTATTTTTTGGGGTTTATTTCTTATTTTTGGGGGGTTGTTCCTTATTTTTTTGGGGGGGGTCTTAGTTCTAATTACTCCTTATTTTTGGGGGGGCTTATTATTTTTGGGGTTTATTTCTTCTCTTTTGGGGTTTATTTCTTATTTTTTGGGAGAACTTATTTCTTATTTTGCAGGGGTTATTTTATTTTAGGATTTTATTTCTAATTCCTTTTTATTTCTGGGGGGGTCATTTCTTATTTTGGGGGGGATATTTCTTATTTTTTTTGCCTATTTTAGGGGGGGCTTATTTTTTGTTCTGGAACGTTTATTTTTGGGGGGGGTTGAGTTGTAATTCCTCCTTATATTTTAAGGGATTATTTATTATTTTGGGGGGTTATTTCTTATTTTTATAGGGTTTATTTCTTATTTTTGGGGCTTATTTCTTATTTTTATAGGGGTTATTTCTTATTTCTGGGGGTTATTTCCTATTTTTACGGGACTTATTTCTTATTTTTGGGGGGTTATTTCTTATTTCTGGGGGTTATTTCCTATTTTTACGGGATTTATTTCTTATTTTTACGAGGTTTATTTCATATTTTCGGGAGTTTTTCCATATTTTTGTGTTTATTCCTTATTTTTGGGGGGTCTCTTTTCTAACCCCTCCTTACTTTCCCGTACCTTATTCCCTGTTTTTTTAGGGCTTATTCCTTCTTTTCCACCACTTTTCCACCTTTTCCTCCCTCCACCCCTTTTCCCAGCAGCCCCATTCCCATTCCCAACCCTCCTCTCCCTATTTTCCAGGCTCATTTTTCCCCCCAATCCCTCCAAAATCCCGATATTTTCCTCATCCAACCCCCCCCCAGGATTTAACCCCTTTCCAACCTTTGGGAATTCCCACCAAAACTCGGATAATTATCCCTTAACCCTTTTTAATTAACACACCTCTTCGTTCCTTGTTTTCCCCTCAGATCCAGGGGTTTCCCTCGAATTGGGCGCCGGGAATTCCGTGGGATCCCGGTAAGGAGCTTCCCCCCTTCCCGCTCCTCCTCTTCCCGCTGGGAATTCCCGGGAATCCGGCTCAGGATCCTCCCCACAGCCCCAAAAACCCTCCTTGAACCTGACCAAGGGGCCAAATTAAGGGAGGGGGGCGGAGCCTCCTTAACGAGCTCCCTCCTTAACGAGCTCCCTCCTCAACGAGCTCCCTCCTCAACGAGCTCCCTCCTTCCGCCCTTGGGAATTATCCCGGGATTTCGGGGCACTTTTCCGCCCCCCCCTCGGATCTCGGCGGCGCCAGAGCTCAGGCAAGTGGCAACTGGGCTGGATTTGGGGCCGTGTTGACAAACCTTTTGTTTAATTAGCGCTAATTAAGCCGTCGCCATCAGATAAAGCGCCGCAGAGCCGGGGCCCGGCCTCGGCTTCATCCCACTTTTCCCTTGCTTTTTTCCCTCCTTTTAACGACATTCCCATTGCCCAGGAACGGGGGATTATTTGGCTCTAAACGCCCCCTAATTAATCACAAAGTTACCGACCGCCTAATTAATTAATTAACTCGCTAATTCCGTCTGGGTTCCTCCTTCTTCGCTCTTTCCCGCGGCCAAAACCATCGTTTTTTGGGGGAGGTTCTTCCAAAAAGTCCGGGAACGACTTTTTTTTCCCCCCAAGAGGGAAAAATCCCCGGCGGTGACTTTTTTTGGGGCGATTTGATCTCGTTTCGGGTCGTTAAGTGGGGGATTTTTAATTACCACCGGATTTTTAATTAGCACCGGGCGTGGCCGGACTTTCTCCCGCGGCTCCCGGGGGCGGGGAAAGAGTTAAAAAAAAAACCCAACTCTTTTGAATTTATCAAAAACTTGTGGTTAATAATTAAAAACCTCCCGCCCTCCCTCCTCGGGAGCGATGGCACTTCCAGGGATTTCCGCCTCTGGAGCGACGGATTTGGGCTTAAAAACCCCAATTTTGGGGTCTTTTAAGGAGTGGGATCGACCCCCCCCGGGGGGTGTTTAAACCTTTTCCCTCGTTTTTCGCCCCAAATCGTGTCTGGGGAGCTCCCGGAAGGAGAATCCCCCTGGAAGGATTCGGGGATCCAGGGATCCCGAAGGGACGAGGATTGCGCCGTGGATGCTCCCAGAATCCCAAGGATTTGGTGTAAAATCCCTAAATTTGGTGATTTTTGCCTTTGCCGCTGGATTCGAAGCCGAGTTTTGGACAATCCGGAGGGAAGGTGTTCCTGCCTGCTCGATATTCCCGCTGGATTTCGTTCATCACTCTCAGATTCCCAAAGAAATCTGGGAATTCCCAGCCTGGAAGAGCATCAGCCGCCAATTTTGGGGCAAAAATCCTGGGATTTATCCACCCCCACTGGGATTTTTGGGGCTCCCCGACAACTGGAGCAACCCTGGAAGAGGAGTTTTCCCTGGAAAACCGGATTTTTCGGGAAAAGAGGCAAAATATGTGTTGTCTTTCCCTCGGGAAGAACCGGGGAAGGGGAAGTCGACGCCAAGACCCCAAAACTGGGCGGTTTGACCCCAAAACCGCGAGTGGGGATGTCGGGAGCTCCTTCCCGAGGGATGCAGGGAATCAGAGCCGGGAAGAGGCTCCCACCCGGTGCCCCCTCGTTAATTAAGGGCTCAGGTGTTGATTGACGGCCCCGCCCAGCCGGCGGCTCCCACCGGGATTAACCGGGGTCGCTTAATGCCCATCCCAGACGGATCAACGCCCGGCCGGCTGCCCGGCTCCGGGAGGGGCTCCGGGAGAACATCGGGATGGAGACACCTGGGGAGGATCCGTGGGGACAGGGGCACGAGGGCCGGGAGCGCCGGAGCGGCATCCGGGACCCGCTGAGGGATCTCCGGGATCGGCTGAGGGATCTCCGGGATTGGCTGAGGAACCTCAACAGGGGCGATTCCGTGAATTCCAAGATCACCTGAAGGATCTTCGGGATCACCTGAGGAACCTCAACAGGGGCGATTCCATGAATTCCGAGATCACCTGAGGAATCTCCGGGATCACCTGAGGGATCTCCAGGATCACCTGAGGAACCTCAACAGGAGTGATTCCGTGAATTCCAAGATCACCTGAGCAATCTCCGGGATCACCTGAGGAATCTCCGGGATTGGCTGAGGGATCTCTGGGATCACCTGAGGAACCTCAATAGGGGTGATTCCGTGAATTCCAAGATCACCTGAGGAATCTCTGGGATCACCTGAGGAATCTCCAGGATCACCTGAGGAATCTCTGGGATCACCTGAGGAACCTCAACAGGAGTGATTCCATGAATTCCGAGATCACCTGAGGAATCTCCGGGATCACCTGAGGAACCTCGACAGGGATGACTCCACCCATTCCAAGATCACCTGAGGAGTCTCTGGGATCACCTCAGGAATCTCAACAGGGATAAGTCCAGGAATTCCAGGACCACTGGAAGAAGCTCTGTGGAGACAAAGGAATGTATTCCGAGATCCCTTTGGGAAGGAGCTTCTGCCTATTCCGAGCCTGTCCAAAGAACATCCAGGGATACAATCCCACATATTCCAGCATCTCCAGGATGCCCGAGGGGCCACCACTGGTGCTCCTCAACCTTTTTGCTTCCCAACATCCCTCACGGATCCAGACCCGGAGAGTCGCCACCCCCCCGGCGAGCCGGTGCCAACACCGGCGACTCCCTTGTGGTTTTGGGCTAAAAAAGGGTGGATTTGGGATGGGGGGGAAGCGGGGGAGGCGCGTCCCACTAACCCTCTTCTCTCCCACCCCCTCAGGATGGCCCGGCCCCCACGGCCCAGCCCGGTGTGAGCTCCGGCACCGCCGCCCACCATGCGCCGGCGGCGCGGGATTTGGCTCCGCGGCTCCCGGACGGCGCCCGTGACCCCCCCAGCGTCCATCCTGGTGACCCCCCCAGTGTCCATCCCGGTGCCCATCCCGGCGTCCATCCCATCCCGGCCATGAGCGGCCCCGTCCCCCTGGCTCCGCTCGGCTCCGCCGCCGCCGGACCATGAGCTCCCACCGCGCCGCCCGGCACGACGGCGCCGATGCCGAGGGGTCCCCGGCAGCCTTTTGGGCGCCCAATGGGGCCGTGGCGGCGGGGCCGGGGGGCGACGCCCCGCGCGGGGCCGTGCCCAAGATGGGGGTCCGCGCCCGCGTCGCCGAGTGGCCCCCACGGAGAGACGCCAACGCCGCCAACGCCGCCAACGCCAAGGATTCCGGCGCCGGCCGGGAAGCGCCGGCCAACCGGGACGGCGTCGGCTGCCGGGGTTTTCCCGGCGGGCAGCAACCCCTGGCCGGAGTGTCCGGCTTCAAAGCCCTGCACCGCCTGGCGCGGCGGCGCTCCAAGGACGTGGAGTTCCAGGAGGGGTGGCCGCGCTCGCCGGCGCGGGGCCTGGCGCCGCTGCGGCACCGCAGCAGCAGCGAGGTGACCCTGAGCGAGTGCGACCCCGAGGAGCCGGCGGAGCCGCGCGGCGCCAAACTGGGCGGCCCCTCCGGGCTCTTCCGGGAGTACGGGAGCACCTCGTCCATCGACGTGCAGGGAATCTCGGAGCAGAGCTTCTTCGACATGCTCAACGAGTTCCGCACCAGGAAGCCGGAGCGGCGCGCCGGCACGCCCGAGCGCCTCGCCGACGGCGCCCTCCCGCCGGGATCGTCGGCCGGGGCGAAGGCGGACGGTCGGAACGGGCCGCGGGAGGAGCCGCCGGCGCAGCCCAAGGACAAGGCGCGGCGCCGCTGCCCCAAGGGCGACGCCGGCGGCGGCGAATCCATCTTCAGGAAGCTCCGGAGCGCCCGCAACGACGGCGACGGGAAGGACCCGGAGGAGCCGCGGGCGCCGGAGCCGGGCAAGGGCTGGACGTGCCGCAAGAGCTTCGCTCACTACGACGCCCAGAGCATCCTGTTCGACCTCAACGCCGCCGCCCTGCAGCGCGCCGCCGGCACCCAGCGCCGCAACACCACCACCGGCGCCTCGGCCGCCTCCGCCGGCTCCGACCCCGCCTTCTCCAGCACCGAGGACCTGAACTCCAAGGAGAACCTGGAGCACGACGTCGGCGACAACACCAGCAACGAGCTGCTCCTCAGCTGCCCCCACTTCCGCAACGAGATCGGCGGCGCCGGCGAGCGCGACCTCAGCTTCTCCAAGGCTTCCGCCGGCGCTCCGGCCCTGCCGGGGGCCGAGGGGGCCTTCCCGGAGCCCTTCCACGCCGGGAGACCCACCAACGCCGGCATCTCGGTGCTGGAGGTGCCCAAGGAGCTGCAGCGGAACCCCGAGCGCCTCAAGCACTACAGCGTGGAGCACGTGGACCTGGGCGCCCGCTACTACCGCGATCACTTCCACGGCAAAGGTGCGGGGGCTGGGGGGGTTTGGGGGGGCTGGGGTGCTCTTCCCCATCCCCAAATCCCTTGATCCTCCTGTTGTAGGGCTGGGCTGGGGAAGGGAGGCGGGGGCAGCTCCTTCTGTGGCGCTTCCGTGTCCGCCCTTCCTTGGCTCTTCCACGTCCACTGCACGTCTCTTCCGTGTGTCTCCGTGTTTTCCGTGTCTCCTCCATGTCCCTTCCACGTCTCTTCCGTGTCCCTCTGTGTCTTCCATGTCTCTTCCATGTCTCTTCCATGTCTCTTCCATGTCCCTTCCACGTCCCTTCCATGTCCCTCCACATCCCTTCCATGTCTCTTCCATGTCCCTCCATGTCTCTTCCATGTTCATGTCTTCCCTGTCCCTTCCCTTTCCCTTCACATCCCTTCCCTGTCCCT